AACAATATAGCCCCTAAGCCAGCACACCAAAAAGGGTTTTTCTGCTACCAGTCCCCTCCTGCTCTTCTTTAAGTAAATCCTACTCACTTTACTCTTCCCTTCTGTTATTGTCCATGGATTTTATTCTTCAAATTTGGGAGACAAGACCCCAGAAGAAAATTGGCAAAGCTATGAATCTAGTCTCATCTCAAAACTCTGGTTTCAGTATGAAACAAAGTATTGATATGGGGAGAATTGTGCTGGATTGCTGCTCAAGTTGCTTTTATTTAAGGTGTTAGGAAAATCCTTTCTAAGGAGGTGACATTTCATCAGTGACCAGCCAGAAGGAAGAGATCCACACCTGACACTCCCTGAGGCTTAAGGCAAACTTTAAAGAAAGATGGGTGGTTACTCACTTTTGTATACTGATGTGCATTAAACCATGTTTATAATTGGGCATACTTATGACCCACTTCTAGGAATTATCTTAAGGACAAACCAGAAATGTGAGCAGAAAGATTCATGCCCAAAGATGTTCATGGCAGATTTACTTATAAAAGAAAATAAAAATCAAAATTATTGAAAAATGCCCTTTCTTCCTTCCTGAACCTTTCCACCCTCATGGCTCCACTGGGCACCTCCCCCCTCTGATTCCAAAGCCTTAAAAAACTTCTCTGTGATCATGTTTTCATTTACAAAGACTTGCCTGTTTACTCAACTACTCAACTACTTCTCCCTTCTTGGCTCTGAGCTCGGAGAGCAAGCCTACCTTGCTATGAAGCATTTAGTACCTATCATGCATTTGGCACATCATAAGAACTCTATACCTAAAAAAAAGAACTCTATACATGCTTGATCAAAGATTGGCTTAATATCATCTGACATATCTATAGGTGGAATACTATATAGCCATCAGAAATCTTATTACTGAAAAAGGACAATGAGAAGCTAAATATCACGCATAAAAATAAAACTATATATACCGAATGACCTTGATTATTAGAGACCCAAACAGTTAAAGGCAGTTTCTGACTGAGATTGGGATCATTCCTGCCTTCTCTTTATATTTTCTGTTTTGTACTTTGGGCACAATATAATAGTAGCTTCACAATCAGAAAAAAAATTGAACAAGTGACTGTGTTCTACATTTGAACTTTCTGTATACATCACTCTGGTCAACTAGATGTTTTTAAAAGATGAGAGATTCATTGGTAAGGCTCTTGTTAATAGGCCCATCCTCAGCAATGTGAGGTGTCTGCTATTGACATGAAAGTTGTCACTCTGTTTTGTCTTATCATCC